CCCTGGTGAAGAAAAGGTTGAGAACCATTGTTCTAGATCAGCGATGGCTAATATTTTTTGGCTCGCATGCCATAAGGGGGGAGCGCAGGGGGTCATGCATGGGCATGCCACATCCATAATGCAACGTGCGACCCCCCCCCGCCGCATATGCGCGCATGAGAGGCACTCCCCCTATTTTTGTATGCTTTTTTCATGCATCCCCCCCCCGGATGCCCTCTGGAGGCTTCAGGGACCTTCAGGAGGCTTCCATGAAGCTTCTGGAGGGCTTAAACTGGCCCTACGAGCAAATCAGAAGTGACTTCCGGTTTGCTCGTGGGTTGGTTTTAAGTCCTCCGGAGGCTTCAGGGAAGCCTCTTGAAGGTCCCAGAAGCCTCCGGAGGGCTTAAACCGACCTACGAGAAAACCAGAAGTCTGTTCCCGAACTTCCTTGCCCATACAGCCGGTTTTTTGCACTATGGAAGCTTCAGGGAAGCTCCTGAAGCCTCTGGAGGGCCTCCGGGGAGGGGGAGGGGGAGGCTCTTTTCGCTCTCTGCGGGCTCCTATAATACCTCTGGAGCCTGGAGAGGGCAAAAAATGGCTTTTAAAAATGCTGAACTCAGCTGACCAGCATGCGCATGCACGCTGGCCAGCTGACAGGGCAACCCCTCGCATGCCCTGACAAATGGCTCCACGTGCCACCTGTGGCACGCGTGCCATAGATTCACCATCCCAGCTCTAGATGATTAACAACTAAGCGTAAAATACAGTTGAAGTACTCTTAAAAACGTTAGTTCTAAAAATTCCTATGACTAATGCATCCAGGCAAGAGCCAAAAGCATGTTGGAATAATATTTTTACTGATTTACTTATTTCTGAAATGAAATAACAGGTTGAATGAACCTCAGAACTACACTTCTATACCATTGTTCTATGAAGTTAGAGGTATCTTTTAATGGTAATCTTAACAAGCCCTCTTTAGATTTTTGGACTTTGTGGGCAGATTCAATTCTAGTAAGGCTCTGTGCAATATACTTCACTGTTGAGCATTTGAGGCTTTGAAGGTAAAAGCAGTACTTTGAGCAGATCCACTGGGAACCTAGTAGTAAACAATACAATGACCTTAAAACTGGTGTGAGTCTGTACTGCTCTCCTCTCAGCAGCATGGTCCACATACACTATCAACTGCAGTTTCTGAGTCATCTTCAAAGACACTTCAATGTACAGTGCATTACAATAATCCAACCAAGTAGTGATCAGGGATTGATCACCACTTGGTTGGATTAATGCAATGTACATGGAAGTGCCTTTGAAGAAGACTAGGGCATCCTAAATCAGATAATATTATAACTAGCGTGCAAGTCAGAGTTGGGCAAAGAACCCATAGCCACAGTTTCACTCCAACTGCTAGAACAAGAACTGAGTATCTAGGAGCACTCTCAAGTCGTGAAACACTTGCTTTGGAGAGAGAATTGCTCCTTTCAAACGACTATGTCTGTTATTGGATTTTCTAGTTATTTACTAATGAATAGCAACTCTTGGCATGATTTAAGTCATAAGAAGTGATTCTGGGCACCATAAACAATGAACAGTTCAATTGTACAATTATTCAGAATTTCAACTGAATTTCTAGCTCAATCAGAGGTGGCAATATGTCACCAGGTGTCATCAGCATATTGTCATTTCACTCATTCTATTGTATACTCGTGTGTGAGTGTGAGTTGTTGTTGTGAGGAATTGACACGCAGGAGCCATGTATGCAAGACAGATCTTTATTAGTACCAGATGACAAGCGATTCAAAGATTCTCCCTGCAACTGTCAGGGTATTACAACTCACACTCACACACGATTATACAATACTGGCGACGAGGCCAGCCAATCAGATGCT